GGGGGGGGGGGGGGGGTCGCATTGGGCAGGACCCTCAACGGAGCCCTGATCTCCTGACCTGACACAGATTGAGTACTAGGAACAACATTCGGCCCCTCCTCATCGCTGACTTCAATCACCCGCTCAAAGTGTGCAGACACGGGACCCTGCGGCCCGGTCCGTCCTCCTGGGTGAGCGCTCCTGACTTGAGGCAGGCGTCCAACATTCCTCATTCTTCTTGCTATCAGACTGTCCTCGTCCACCCCTGGGATTCTCAGGACTCCAACCTCATTGACCTCTCTAAACTTCCTAGGCGGCTCATCCTCCTCAGATGTTGAGGAACCCCGCACCACTTGCTGCTTACCTTTGTCCCCGCCCCCACCCGTAGCCTGAGACCTCCCCTTCCTCCCCCTCCTGCGAGCACGCGAACGCTTCCTACTTGCCGGGCCTTCCCCGGACTCCTCCTGCAACCTGCCGCCGACTCTTGGGCCATCCTGCATAGGCACATCAGCAGCCATAGGAGCGGAAAAAGGCTCTTCCTCAAGCCACCCCCCCGTGGGCAGTCGAGACGATGGACCCACTCCGGCGCACGGGCCACCCTTTATAGGCCCCTCAGCAGCCATGGTCACGGAGGCACATGCATCCCTATCCCTCACAGGGGAGGGGGGACAGCCCTGAATAACACCTCTCAGTCGAGACGATGGACCCACCCCGGCACACGGGCCACCCAGTAAAGGCCCATCAGCCGCCATGGCCACGGAGGCACACATATCCCTGTCCCTCACAGGGGAGGGGGGACAGCCCCGAATAGCATCTCTTACTTGAGCCGATGGTCGAGACAGAGAAGTAGGAGGAGGCTCTTCCACCAGCCAACCCCCCACCTGCAACCGCGACGATGGGCCCGCACCTTCCAATAACCACCCACCATCAGCGGGTCCTTGAAAAGTAAGGGAGTGTCGTGCCTCAATGTTGACCCTGGAAATAGAGAAGGAGGCCGTACGATGAAACACTGATAGATGGGACGGGCCCAGTTGACCAATCGGTGAAGGACCTTGCGAGACTGGCGGGAAGATGGATGCCTTTACAACGGGCGCTGCTTGTACCGACGTGACCATAACACAGGATGCCGACGGTTGAGGCTGGATGAGCTGATGAGAGGATGGAGCACCCACCTCTTGCAACTGCTGCTCTCGAGCTCTCTCGACAACACCACCAACATGACTCACCCCTGCATGATGTGCATCCTCCCCAACCCCAATCTGGTGCACAACATGAGCCTGCGGTTGACCAATCGGCGCAGGACGTTGCGAGACAACGGGAGTGACTGCTGCAATATGGATTGCCGGTGACGAGGTGACAATGACACCCGGAGCCGAACGTGGAGACTGGGTGACCTGCTGAGCGGGTAAAACATCCCCCCCCTGATATTGCTGCTCCTCAATTTTTCCGCCGACACCATCAACACAACCGCCCCCATCACGGCAACCAGCCACCCCATCCCCAACCTACGGCTCAACATGATCCTGCGAATGGGCAGTCGGCGGCGTACATTGTGCGACATCAGCATACCACCCACCAAACCCATCCTTATTCTGCTGCACAACATGGACCTGTTGGAGATCCAGCGCGGCCCTCTCAACCCGGCAATCCTCCATCGGTCGGGCACCCACCCCGCCCCGCTGCTGATCCAGGGCACTAGCCGCTTCCACTACGGGAACCAGAGGTGCATCTTGCATACTGACATCATTCTCCCTCGGAGGTCCCGTGGCCTGATCCGGTTGGGGGGCAGCCAAAGGCGCGTCCCTCTCAGAGTGACTCCGTGAAGCTGACCGCTCTGGTCAAGTTGGTACCCCTACCCCTCCTGAGTCAGTTGCCCCCCCACGCAATCGACCCCTCAGGGGTGGTAAGAAACGCACATCCGTTAATCCACACACATCCCCCAAACTCTCATTAGCAATGATCTCCTCACCAATGGCCACATCAGCCTTCTTTTCAAAGAGAATGCAAGTCTCAACCTCTTCAACAGCGTTGACCGAACGAGTCGAGTGCTGCTGTATGTGGAGCTCTCTTCGTCGGATATCTTCCCTCGTCTCACCAGGTGTCAAACAACGAGCCGCGCTGGCCAAGTGGCCATGCTTACGACACAGGTCACACCAAGGCGTCTCGCTCGTTATGTACCGAACTTCCGGACGCCCGTAGCCCGGTATCCCAATCGAGAGGCGCTCCAGCCCTGTCCGCCTCAGGGGTGGGCACAATTCAAAACGGACCGTCTCCCTACCATTCTCATCATAGAGCGACTGACCGAGCTCATCCTTCAGCTAACCGAACAGCTGCCGCATGGCCGACCACAAGTGCAACCGTGCCAATGGCGGAGATGAAGAAACTTGACCCACGGATTCATCCTTCTTTCCACCAGACGATCCCATTCCATATCCACAGGTGTCTTCCAACCTGCGAATGAGACACGAAGGCGTATATAATCCACAACGATGTCCTCCCCCATCCTTACATTAATCAACTAATTGCGTAAAAGTGTCGTGGGGGCCCAATAGAAGACTAGGGCAGGGCCTTCAATGGACATGAAGCCCGGGAAGCTTCCTCTATCGAGGGGCGGCCACGCGGCTTCCCACTTCTTTACTGCCTCGAACTTCATTGTAGCCGAGAACTCCCGACTTCGCCCTTCGAACTGCATAACCACGACATGCGCTCTCATGTACGTGGCCTGCACAGGCGCCGCTTTGTCACGTACATTCAGGCATATATCATCACCCTCTTGTGCATGCGAAGCTGCAAGGTCATCAAAGAAGGAGTTCGTCAGAATAGCTTTCCGAAACCTTCTAATCAAATCCCACTCCGAACCGCGCCCCCCCTCTTTTGCTACCATGGCTTCCACTCACTCACTCCGACTCGTCTGAGTCACTAGTGTAATACCCGTACCTGCCAGTACCAATTCCCCTTGGGGAGGAAACCCGGGTGGACGCGATGCCCTGTGCACTCGCCAGACCCAACTCACTCGAGGATGCACGGCCCAAGTCACTTATGCGCGATTCCAGGATGAGTCACCACTCCTCCAAACACCTCAACCGTGTTAGTAAGTCCCACTTCTCTCACACGAGACACTTCCTGCCAGTCAATCCAACACGCCGACCATACTTGACTCCCAGTAGAAGAAGTGTGACTCTGGCGCCGGAGGCGCCATCAACCGTCATCCACCTGTGCCACCTATGTGCAAGGACACTTCCAAGGTAGAGGCAGCACGATGATATCCCGTGCGCGCACAACCAAGAGAAAGCGACAATCAACAACCGGCCCAGCTCCGAGACCAACACCGTGAGTAGCGCATTCAGACCTCCAAGGATCTTCGAAGTAACCCGAACGAAACACACCAGACACCGGGCGATGAAGTAGACACCGAAGCGCACGACCACCCGCGCCTCATCCTCATACCGCCCCACACAAAAAGCCGCCACGACAAGCACCACCACAAACAGCAACCTAAACAACTCCATCCAACCTTCTTCGTGCCGCTGGTGACCAAGGAGATAGCATGTTCATTCACTCCCCCGTACATATACCAACCGCGTCGTACCTACACCCCGAGACCAACCAAAGACTCCCCTCACATGGGACTGTCGTACGCCGACCCGGACGCACTCCCCCACAACCACGAACCAAAGGCCGACGGGTTGACATTGCAGTCAAACTAACCCGCCATCGGCCGACAAGACTGCCCCAGCCATCCCACTGCCGCTCCTCCGGCCGAAATGCCAAGCACGCAGCCCGTCCAACGTGCTGCTTCGCCACAAAACTCACCATCCCTAACCCCTTGCCTTTCCTCCGGCCGACAAGACCGACTCAGCCGCCCGCTCTTCGGTCGACATGACACGTACCAACCCCTTTAACGACCGTACCGCCTCACCCGCTAACAGACACCGACAGACGTGGACCAAGGCACCCCTGCCACCATCGCACTACTCTCTAACCGACATGCCCCTCTAACAAAGAGACCGCCTCCTCGACGAAGATCCCAGCGCTGTTCGCAGACGTTCACCACACATTCACCGCTACCCGCCGCCTCACATCGGCCATTCACAGTTTCACAATGCGAAGTGCAAAGTGTTCACACTTAGACGTGCATGGCTTAGTCTTTGAGACAAGCATATGACTACTGGCAGAATCAACCAGGTAGCTGGTGTAACGAGCGGCCGCAAGGAGCGATGGTGGAGGCCCACTTAGGCGCGTCACGCCGGCCAGCCTACCAAAAGAACGTCGAACAGTTGTGGAACGTGCAATGACCTATCGCGACGACGCGAAGTCCGACTGTTTGAATTGCAGGTGAACTTCCCCTCCGTAGGCCATCTCCAACGGCAAGGTACCGCACAATCCAACGCAGCCCGCCGCACCCGCTCAAAAGATTGGCTGCGAACAGCACCCGCGCACACCACACCCTCAGATCGGAAGATAACCACACTTTCCGAACAACGGTGCGCACGAAGGAACCACAGACAGCTTCGGCCCACAGCCGGATGCCACCGCCCGCCCAAAACGTACCGATAGCGAAGTGCACCGCCTCATCTCTCCATCGAGAAACGCGAGTGAAGAGAGAAACGAATGCACCACGCTTCCAACACGCCCGGACGGACGAAAGCCTCCACCTGTGCACGTGGGCGCAAAAGGAACACACCCCCTCCCCCCTGGATCCACATGCGCCTGTTGCCACGGGCACCACCAATAGCACTCAACGCAGGCGAAACCCAGGAGACAGAGGACAGTAGCCTTCAAAGTCCACAACCTAAACGCAGCGGAACCACAACCCAACGCGATCCGTCACGGTGTGCAGCATACCGAGACCACAGGATGGGGGACACAACGGGCACAAGTGCGCATTCCAACAAGTCGGCCGGAATGACCCACAAGTCTCCGCCGTCAAATACGGTAACCAGCGGGTGCAGCGCCGAGGCCACCTGCGCCACAGCTCAATGGCGCCGCTGGGATGGCGAAGAGCGCAGAGCGTCCTCACCAAGTCGAGACACCCCCTCAACACAAACGGAACACACCGTTGTGAGTGCCGACACGAAGAAGACACCACAACAGAGCCGCAACAGCTCTCCCTGTAACCTACGGGATGATGGTGCCGAAGCTGAGAGTCGGTGACGGGCACCTCCGCCTCCACACCCTGCAAACAACCGCCAACCGGACAGCCGTCGGCGATCAGGCGCCAATCATCGCAAGACGATGAGCGAGGGTGAACGCAACGATCCACAACCCGGCACCACGCCATAGGAAAGCCCCGACAGCCGTGGCCGCCGCAAACGACGACTTAGCTGTCGTGAAATGAGCCCTCCGAGAGAGACGACCATGGACCCGCACGGCCCCACAAAAATGTTCACTCGACCACCAAAGAACGACTCGCTCGTCCCTCACAAACTGGAAACCACCCAAAGCGTGTGCAGAGAGTCCTTCGTAACTCGAATACAAGGTCCCAAAACCCACGCCCGAAACTTCGCCTTCGTCGACTGCAAGGGGGCTGCTAAGCACGCAGGCCCCTATAAGAGTGCAAACGGGACTCCAAACCGCCAACCACTGACTGTTTGGCACATCCGGAGGGTGCTCACTGAGCCATCCGCCGAGGGACCTGCACATGTCCCTTTCCAGCAAGCTGACTGAACAGACCCTAATGGCGATGTCCCCCTCAGGACCTCATCCCTTTCTGCTCTCAATAAGTTGCCTCTGGACCTTCGACCCTGGGAGACCCTTTTTTCTCGGGGCCGTTCCTACGCCCGAGTGGCAGTGCGCGGTATCTGCTGCCCCCACAAAATTCGACACCTCAAAAGTCCGTCCCATCTCCGTCCCTTCCACGCACAAAGGGATAAGGGGAAAGGCCGGGGAAAAAAAAAAATACATCACAAAAAAAAAGAAAGAAAACAAAAAGGGACGAAACAAACAGAGAAAAGGCCACGCAGCTTCTGTGCCTAGCGACTCAGATCACGCCGCGGTGTGGGAGTGAAAAGTTTACGGGAAGTCTGGCAGAATTGTGCGTCCGTTGTGGGGTTATGTGTTGGCGAACATGACAGGACACGCACTCCAGAAAGAGAAGGGGGGAAGAAAAGTCATGGATGACTTGACAAAATCGTCATTTCAATTTGTGTCGGCCCCGAAAATAACTGCATCCGGCAAAAGAAGCGAGGCCGAAAACCCGACAGCCATAAGCATTTTCGTGCATGTCCCGGAGAACACCATGGAGCCAATCAGGTACTGCCTCCAGTGAAGCAGGCCGCCATGATCACGCGCAAGCGAGGGGAGGGCCGGATAGGGCAGGAAGTGGGCCGTTTGCCCCCGCCATGAACATCATTGCTCGCACGCGTGGGGGGGGGCAGGGGCCCAAAGGGCAGGAAGTGGCCTGTCTGTTCCCACAGCTGGGAGGGCGCGCGGCCCCACCAACGTCACGACTACGCAGTCGCGTGGCGAGGGCCACGTAGGGCAAGAAGTGGGTATTTTGTTCCCAAGCCATGATATTACGCACACACATGGGGAGGGCCAGATAGGGTGAGAATTGGCTTTCCAGGTCCGAAACACCAAGGGCATCCATATGATCCTGGTCAGCCATTTGCAAATCCCTCGTGGGGTCTACGCCATGCGGGATTAAATGCAGTCAAAGCAGATCACCCGGGACCACGACCACTTAAGCCGAGGAGCCCCACCACTCCCGAGCCACCGTGAGGGCGCGTTGCTGATTCAGCATAGCGGAGAGGGCAACCATCGGAAAACGAGCATTATGTACTCCCGACGAGACCGAAACAGTAAGGACATGCAGAACCGACGCACTCTCCATAAAAACCAGCGGAACCAAGTACAGCCTTCCTTCTGAAAGCATATCCTCCAGCACCCCATCCAGCAATTGCATGTGCAACCTACCATTGAACGGGTCCCCCTCTCTCGGATCCTGATTCCTTCCTCCCGTACGCGGCTCCGGTTCCTCCTCCCGATCCTCCTCGTGTGCACCTCGCAATGGGTCCGGAGACGACAATCTCACTCGGCTCTGAGGGGGAACCGGGGGGGGGAGGTTGGATTAGGCTGGACCCTCAACGGAGCCCTGATCTCCTGACATGACACAGATTGAGTAGGAACAACATTGGACCCCTCCTCATCGCTAACTTCAATAACCCGTTCCAAACGTGCAGAAACGGGACCCTCGGACCCGCTCCGTCCCTTCGCCGTGATCCCCAACCAGTTAAATCACACTTCCATCTGGTGCTCAACGTCTAACTACTCTTGGTCCAATTGTTACTAATGCATCTAAGGAAATGACCATCTGTTATATCAGCACTGCAGTCGAAGTACATGGAAACTGTTGTCCATATAATACCCCCAACACAACTCTGTATGACTTTTTGTCTCACTCTCTCGTCCCTTGTCTTCCTACAACTCACAATTGCGGAGGGACCCCCATCCAGCACCATCAACCTAGTGCAGGTTGATTGGTTATGACGCTTGCACTTGACTTTCATTGTAGCTGCTGAAGCATCAAGCTTTCAGTACTGCTCGACTGTGAAGGTCCCAACCACTATCCAAAGAAGCATCATGCCCGACTTGAGCATCGAACAACTAAATGAGTCCAAATCATGTTGCCTCTCTTCTTTATGCTGTGACTTTCATGCAAGGTCAGTCTTGGTCCAAATAAGTTGTGCAGACCCAATAGCCAACAGGCATAACCAGTTTCAAACTGCGTCCAAAGCCTAGTGCCGGCAATTTGGATCATTCAACTGTGTGAAGTAGCTGAAGGTGCAGGTTGGAATCTGATTGCTTGAGGAGGCCAAAATAATTTCACATAGCGTACATCTTGTGGGACCCTACGTCCTGGTCACACAACTACGAAATTGGCTTTCCAGCCAACCGCTCTCCGATAACTACGTTGCAACAATATCGTCAGAAAGACCAAAAGCTAACATCGTTCACTTAGGGCGGCCTAGAGCTAACATCATTAGCCTTATGTTGTTGCTGAGGGTCTGGGGTTTTTCAAATACTCAAAATAGTCATATCAAAGGTATACCTACAAGTCTGCTAGTGGAGAGAACTGGCCTTGGCGGCATTGAATCAAGTTATCAACGGGTGGATGTTGCTGTCTGAGGTCTTGTGTGCATTCCAGAATTTCAGAAAAAGTTTTTCTCGTCATTTGTTTATTAATAATTTTAAGTTTCAGTTTATTCCTTTCTTGTTTTCAATTGTGTCTGACGTATTTTCAATCAGTCTGGCTTATATTATCAACTTTTGTTCATTTCTGTTAGGGATCGGCTTCCTTGGGAAGAACTATGAAAACTTTTTCAAAGGCAGATGTTGCGCTTGCTTATGTGAATGAACATGCCAAGTTCATATGCCCAGTCATTCTTGCATATGAGTTACAAAAGCCACTTTCGGGTTTCGAGTATGTTGTGATGGAGCGAGATGATTTTCTGATGCGGTGAATGAAGTACATCCAATAATGCTATACACCATTGCACAATATACTGCCATTTTCTTCAACCTCATTTTCTGCAACCTTAATTTTTGTCATTTTTTTTTTGCAGCATACATCAATGATTATAAAACACTCTTGTATGATGGTTTATACTATACAGTTCTCATATAATGCAGACCATAATGAGTCATAACTGCTACCAGATGGAATACTTATCCGATATTTTATTATACTAGTTTGTGTTTTTTTCTGCAGATTATGAACTCACCATTTTCTTTTCTGATTATATTTTGCAGGTACAAGGACATGAGTGATGGAGAACGTGTGTTTTATGAACTGATTCACCCTATGAGTCTACGTAGCATCTTGTTTGTGTCCAAAATGGAACATGAACATGTTCACCCGAATGCGAAGGACTTCCCAAAAAACTATCAATGCAGAAACCTCTCATGTGAAAGTTATTATTTGTACAGGGTTTAGGTTTATTATTTATTTCACTTATATGAGATATTATTTATATAATTCAGCCGACAAGTTGATATAAGCATTTCTGTTGTTTGTGTACTGCTTTCTCTGTCTGCAGCAAAATGAATGTCATCTATATTTCGATTTGGAATTTCCAACCTGTTTGAACCAGGAGAAAAATGGTGCTGCAATGGTTGACACATTGTTGATGGTGACTATGAACCGGATAGCATCAGAGTTTCCTCATGCAGAACATGAGAGTGCATGGATACTTGAAACAGACTTATCAAGGGAGGAAAAATTCTCTACACATGTGCTGGTCAAAGTACCTGGCTTGGTATTCCGCAACAATCAGGAGTTGTTCCCTTTTGTGTCACAGGTAAACATTATGTACTCTATTCTGTTTGTAATTTTTTTTTTGCTCAATGACATTATTGGCATGTGATTTTTTTTTGCCTTTTTACCAACAAGATTTTTACTACCAACCTGTCACCTGCGTATCACGCCTGGGCTACTCGTCCATGGGAAAAAAATACCGTCCCCGACAAAATTTACATGTATGTGGAGGTCTTGAAGCCGACATTGATTACTTCTCGTGGAAGGATGTACCAAACTTCACCCCTATCTAAGTTAGCATTCCTTACGTTCTCTCCCAGCCTTATCTCTTCCTGCTTGTCGAACACTTCACCACTTGTTTCCTCGCTCTCCGAATCGACCTGTTCCCGCTTGAACTCACTTCTGAATCTGCGGATTCCAGGATACGTTTTGGTTTTTCCTGGTCTGGTGCATTTTCGCTTAAGCCCTAAACCCTAAACCCTGGTACTACTAATTAGGCTTTCTCTTCGGTTTTGGGGTTCGCCTTCCTCTCCCGTTTTCTAAAGTGTGTTGCAGCCCTGTGCCTCTTTCCTCCTTCGCTTCCCCTTTCTAGTACCTTACCTTGCCTATCTTTTGTTTGTTGTCCCCTTCATTGCTCTGTTCCTCTCCTCCCTCGCTGCTTGCTTTTCTATTAATGTGCTGCTTTACCTTCTCATTCATACACCCTACACCCTCTGCACCTTTCTGCTTTGTTATATTTCTCTCATTCAAAAAGAAATTAAGAGTTTGTAGCGGGGTAGGTGTCGGATATAAGGGTGTTCGTGGGGGTAGTATGGTGTGGGTTGTTGGGGAGGAGTGTAGGGGTGTTAGGGAGGGAGGCTATGAGAGTGTTAATGGGGTTATTGGGGGCTCTCGAACTTTAAAAAAAAAACTTAAAGAAAAAGAAATGTAGGGTCTGGTAGATGCCGACCAGCCAGCGATTGGCTGCTCTGTCTCGGACCAATCCAGGGCTACCAACGACCAGCATGAGTACTCTGTTGTTGGGCTGCTAGAGTGACTCCGAACCAGTTTCATGCAGCGTAATTGAATATATGTTAGCAGACTATCCTATGAGCACTTTCTATGGCATAATGTACGTTATGCAAAATCTTTTTTTTATCTTCCTCCTGAAGAGTCTGCTTCACGGCGCAGACGAAACGTGTCGAGGGTTTTGTTGTGTGCTCCGATTTGTGGAGTTTTCATATTGATTCTCGGAGTGGATTACTGTTTTTTTCAATACTTGTTGCATGCGTGACGAGGTGTCGCTGCAGATGGGTGAATCATACTACCTTTGTCCTCATGTTTGCATTGTCTTTGCCAGACTCTTACTTCTACCGCAATCTGAGGAGTCCCAAAACGCCCCGTTGGCAGCAAGTGTGAGAAAAGTCCTTCCTTTGTTGAAAATGGCAGCCTCATCAACTTCTTTCTTTTGTAGACTGAAAGATCAACAAACAATCTTGTGCCGTTATTCGTTTGAACAAGCAGATCTCGATATGCTTGAAATTTTGCCGTGTTGCTCTCTATCTGTTGACAAATCTGCTTCAACGCATTGAGCAAAATATAAGTAGCAAACACCAATATGATAAGTCAACCTCACTATAAAATTTGAGTGTAAAATCAGGCAACAGAAATGAAAATTTTCATTTTTTTTAGGACTTAGGGATGCATTGAAAAAAAAAAAAAAACTTACTTCCAATAGAAATAAAAAGTAAATAAACTTCAATAACTAGTATGCTATGGCCTGAGGTTTATAACCTTTTTTTTTGTGCCACCAATCGGCCTCCCCGAGGCAATACTAAGCATGGGGCCATACCTCATGCCTTGCCCCATTATATACTTTACCCTACACCTATCCTTGGCAACCCAATTGCCTCAAATAGGCTCATCAACCAAGGCAACGCCATCACAGTCGTGCAAATCACCCGACTGCATCATCATCAAAGAGCGAAGAAACAGTCGAGGCTGTAACCGCGGGGTACTGAGTTGTGCCATCTGGAAACAGACTGGGTTACCTACACACACAAAGAAACAGAAGCACACAGACGAGACAAACCAAAAAACACGTGCCGAGGACGACAGCTCCGCAGCTTTACTCAGTCGATCTGGATTGGAGATGGCAGCGCTGGCACCACGGCGTTGGCAACGGAAACTGAAACCGTCTACGCGCACGTCCGGAACTCGCAGTAGAGCCACAGCAATACCGAGCTAAGGCATCCTGCCTTCTCGTATACGGAGGAAATGAGGGACAGAGCGACGTGCGCATCTAGTATATACCCGATCGTTAGGTGCGCATCCATACGGTCCCCGCGGGCGAGTATGCCCTTGAAACCGACTGAAATCCGAAGGGCTACGTCACATCCGATGGACGAAAATTGACGGTTGCTAGTCTCTGGCACCGCAAATTAATACACACTAAGTTACCGAGTTGATACATGCGGCTCGGTGCTAAAAAAACAGATGACAGGGCACGGATGGTCCCGGGCTATAAAGATCGTGAAATGCAAACCCCCATCGAGCACGAGAGGGTATATTACATCTGAACGAGGCCCATATAATCCTCGAAACAAAACTTGCGCCCTTTAGAAAAAAACGAAGGCCCAAAGGCCTGCTTGGCAATCCGAGGCCCGAGTGGGACGAGAGAAGGTCCCAGCACAAAAAAAAAAAAAAAAAAAAAAAAAAAAATCCGAAAAAAACTATGTTATGCAGCAAAATAAACTGAACAACTTTTGCCTCAGCGTCACATCGAAATTCTTCACCAAATTTAGAATAAAATTTAAAATTTAAAAATATTTATTGTTATTTTTATTTTTTTATTGTTTTTGGCCCGGCCAGGCAAGTGACCCCGGGCCACTCTGGTAGCCTAGAAAAAATCCGAAAAAAAACTATGTTGTGCAGAAAATTAAACTGAACAACTTTTTCCTCGGGCTCACATCGAAAATTCAAAATTCTTTGGCTAATTTGAAATATAAAATTAATAAATTGTATATTTTTTAATTTTTTAATATATTTTTTTATTGGCCCGGCTGGGCAAGTGGCCCGGGCCACTCTGATGGTCTGGCTATATATTGTAAATTTAACAGTGTTTTTTCGTTACTTTTCTTTATGATCTACATATTGATGATATCGATCAAATGAAAAACGTGTTCATTACAGCTTACGCCAGGCGTGTTTCAAATGGAGGTTCGAAGCATGTAAGTGTTCTCTCATCTAGTTTCTATTTATTGTTATTTATTTGTTCTATTTTTTACTGCTACTTTTACTGCTGTTGAATCATTTAAAACTTCTATTTTTTGTAAGTACTGGCAAAATTATAGAATATTAAATCAATTTTTTTTAAGTTTTTTTTTTTTATAAATATTTTTTATTTAATTTTGCATTCAGAGAAAATGATTGATTCATGTGTCCGCCACCTTTTATTTACTTATTTCTTTTCGAAAGGGCTACTGCCTTGAGATATCACTGAGCTGATCGGTCCCATGTAATTTAAAAATATTGTTTCATTGAGTTGGTTCCATGAGAATCAGTAATGTGGATTTTAACTTCGGTCTAAATTTCAACAGTTCCTTCATTTGTTTCCATCACAATCAGTCATTTCCTTGCCTGCCTTCTGATGGCCCACCTGGCTGCTTGCTTGCCTGTTTGTTTGCGCACCTATCCACTTGCCTGTCTGCGTGGATACTTGTCTGCATAGGAACCAGCATGCCTGCCTACCTGCTTTGCCTGACTCCCCAAAGCCTGCCTGTGCGCTTGCCTGCCAGCTAGACACATATGTGTTCATGTCCAGGCAGGCTATGTTTAGGCACATATAAATTCGGAAAAAAATAACACTTCATAATGCAAACGATTTTTTGACTGATAGACATATTAGGTGACTACTATAGCTGTCAGCGTGCCTGCATACCGGGTTTGCCAACCTGCATAAAGGTTGGCTGACTGGCAGCCTGCGTATTTGTCGACCTAGTGCATGTTTGTCATTGCACTGCATGCCTGCCTTCCTGCTGGCCTGCCTCACTGCCTTCCTGTCAATCCACGTACCTGGTTGTTTGTCTGCATACTTGCTTGCCTGCCTATTTGCCTGCCCACCTGTCCACTTGTTTACTTGCGTGGCGACTTGTGTGCATAGCTACAAACATGCCTGCCTACCTCCCTTGTGTGATTGTGCAAAGTCTCCCTGCATGTGTGACTACCTGTCCAATTGCCTGATGCGTACCTGGTTGTTTGTCTGTATTTTCTTTCTCTATTCTTTGTTCCCTGCAGCAAATCAAGAATCATACCAGATGTATATTCCTGAGTAAAACTTGCGAGCACAGTACCTCTGCAGCAGATTCCAATGATATTATAGAATGACCCCCCCCCCCTAATTGTTTGATTTATAAATTGAATACAGCGAAGTTCGGACCGAATTTTGAGTTCTGTGGGGAATGCATCGAAGACACGGACCATCGAACAGGTTTTCAATGATTATGATTACTCACCAACAAGCGTGCCGATAAAGATGACAACATCGTCATTCCCGCTCCTCGACGAGTTCATTCTGAAACTTGCAAATCAACACCCACTGCCTAGTGAAAAATGTAAGTTTTTGTTTTCTTTTTTTTTAGCTATACGAACCTACACTCCTTGTAGAAGATTATGAATTGATTACGACTGTTGGCAGACTCTCCAAGTGATGTTTTCTTGAATTAAATTTTGAAATTTTGAAACAGGTACAACTGATTTGAAATTATGGAACAAGTCCTTATGGTCTACCGTTGTAAGATGTTTTGGGAAGCTGTCCAACTAATTTCAATCTTTGCTTTCTTAAAATTGAAACAGGTACAATAAGAAATGTGAGTCTTTATGCAAGGGACCACAACATTGTTTATAGCATACAGAGAACGAGATATTGCAGCGTTGTTCAGCATCAACACGCTAAGAATAACGGTGAGTTGATTTAAAAAAAAAAAAAATTTGTCTGAATTAATTATTAATTCTGACAAACACTCATCTCCAAGACCCCAACAAACACCAAACTTGGCACATACAGACCTTGACCACAAAGTACAACAGGGGAGGATTTTTATTTTTTTATTATTTTTAATTGGTCCCCAAATGCACGTTTTAGTGTCGGGGAGGTTAAACCAGCAATTCCTTTCGTGATGTCTTGCCCGGGGCTCGTAAGCCCCTGGGGCGACCGGTATCCCGAGCTATAACGAGGCTGGGAGTACCAGACGCTCCCTTGCCACACCCCCCACGAGAATAACACGGAAGAAAAAAAATATATTAATAAAAGACATATAACAACAGGACTACGAAAAAAGAACAAGAAAAAAACTTGAAAGAAAAAAAAAAAAAA